TTACCAGATGAAATATTTAATAGGCTCGATCAATTAAACATTCTGTAAGTAGATCGGGAAAACTTTGTCCCAAATGAATTTTCATTTAATAATACATGATCAGGTCGAGATCACCCCCTTCTCTTAAAACATTGTTAAACAACTGTGGGCATATAACCCAATATGGAGCGAGTTTCATAACTTTCTGATCTTATGATACAATCCTTGTAATTTGCCCCCAAAAGGTTTGAAATAATTTGAATTCTTTTCTTTCAAAAGTAGACCACTAGTGACATCATATCATTTTGGCTAAGCAACCCATTGTTACTAATGTTTAATTTTCAAGGGATGAAAAATACCTTAAAATGAAAACTTCGATATAGGACATCATAAAGAGTTTTCCTGGAGGTTTATTTCCATTAGTTCAAACTATGACCTAATCCTGCCTTATGTTCAATATCCAAAAATAATAATTACTCAGATAATGACGTCATTTTCTGAATTTCGGTGTTTCAGTGTTTATGACCAATAGCAATGTAAGATATTAGGCAGTAATTTCAGTGAGTTTTTCTCAAGAAAGCACAGGATTGGATAATTTTCCGTCCGCAAAGGTGTTCGTGACCGATCTGGCAACCAATGTTTACATAAGATAATCTGGTTCATCAATCGGCCAAAAGTTTAAACTGTTCCTACCTTTCTCGTTTCACTTGAGATCGTAAACAATCGAAGCGATCCAGTGTTGCGTTTGTGTCTGATCTTCCCATTTTGCACTACCATACGAGAAAAACCTCAAAAGGCTCAACGCTTTAACAAGACTGTGCATGTTAGTTAAGGGGAAACATACGCGTTGTACGCGTACAAGAGTTTTTATTTCTTTTTTTTCGGATTGGTGGGTTGAAATGGGACACTGCGTAAATGATGTTTGAATTTTTGTAAACGCTGTGACTAAATGCCCTTTAACCGGACACGGCTCAAATAGACTAAATTTCCAACAGTCAAAAATTTTTACAGATTTTCCGCCTAAAGGTTCTTTGAAACTTTTACGAATATCAGATATTTGTTTAGAAATGTAAAGCGATTTCAAATATTAATGTGATTTTTTAGTGGACAAATTTCCGCATACCTCATTACTCTTTCACAATACATGTTTTGAGTTGAGTGACTAGCAGACACCTTATTTTTTTCCCCTGTTCTTAGGGTGCTAACTTTCAACAACATCACTCACATTAACAAGCGCACATTCAGTGGACTTTCCAGTTTGACTACACTGTAAGTGTCCTTTACATACTTTTCTAAAGAGGCGTAAGTCAGGGCTTTAAATAACGTTTTTCATAAGCATTGTAGTAGGTACAGTAGGTGTATAGTGGTGTAGTAAGTGACTGTGCCCGGAGAAGAGGCCTTAAGACCCCTTTCCCTAGGGGAGCCAGGGGGCACTGTCCCTCAGAAAGAAAAAAAATTGAAATCTGGACCTTAAAAATGTTGTTTCCACCATTTAGACCCTTTCCCTAGGAGAGTCAGGGGCATTGTCCCTCAGAAAGAAAAAAAATTGAAATCTGGACCTTAAAAATGTAGTTTCCACCATTTTGGGCATCAAAAAGAGTAGTTTTTGTTATATTTTCATCGACAGCTTAACAATAAGCAAGCTAATTAACAAGCTATTCTTCACCAATCAGAATGCTTAGTTGTAGAGCGTTCGTGGATATACGAAGCAAATCCAAAAATCAGTGCTTTGCAGGGAGGCTCTCATTTTCACTCGTTTGAAAGTTCACGCGAAACCCAAACACAAGAGTCTGTCTGTAAGCTAACCAGACATCGATATGAGGTCTGATGGGCAGCAGTAGGTCACCAGTTACCTGCTTTTACTGAAAGCCTATCAGTACGTCTACTGTGGTGTTGGAAACAAAACAGTCGCTGTGCCCCATGTAAAATGGTTTTTAGTAATTTCCATAAATGATAGCAAACCTCTCAACCTCCGATGAGTTCTCTACTTTAAAAAATTTACACTGAATTCAAACAATGTTGGATCACTCACGGTTTCTGGGAAACCACTCGATTTTTAATCGTCACGATTTA